GTTATGTAACAAGGTAATACCAACAATGAGAAACTGCATGATAAAATCCTGCCCAAAAGTGAAAAATGCTAATTTTGTCTCATTTAGCAGCTGGATACAGAAATGCTCATTAGTTTTAAGAGGGTTAATCCTTTTAACTTTTGCATATTGATATGCCAATTATGCCTAATTGTACAAGAGGCATCAGTCAAGGTAATAGTGCATAAACACATGAAAGTTATTAAGTACATCCCAACATGTAATAAAGTAGGTGTTAATTGGTAGCTGAGTTCTGCAGGCTATTGAGGTGGATAATTCATTGAGAGATGGATCACTTGTAATTTCTCTACATAATTCCTTTTGCAGTCTCATGCTGTGATGTTTTCATGCTTGTCAAAAACAACTGCAGCCTAGTGCCTTTTGTTAAACACAGCCAATAAAATATGTTAGGCATCATTAAATATACTTAACTTTTAAACTTTTTCAAAGTTACAGTTCCTACTGATAATACATTATACTATTTCCAAATAAATTACAGTAAACATTCTTTTAACTTCCTAACAGAACATCTCACTTATGAGGGTTGGGGGTTGGTGTGTGTGTTTTTTAAGTACTACGTGCAAATGTGTCGCCAGCAAGTGATAGTTTTAAATTGGAAAGCAAACATAAGGAAATGAATGTTTCATCAGCTACTAGGTTGATATCGAGGTGGGGGGGGGGAGAGGAAGGGATTCAGTTCTGAAATGCAATGCAAGTTTCTCTGAACTAAAGATTTACTTCTGCCAACTGAGAGAAGAATAATTAAAATCATGTATTTGCTGAGCTATGGTGATGAAACGGCTGTGGTTAATTTTGCATTTGAACATGGAGGTAAAAATAGCAGAAGGGCGGGTGCGGGGGGGGGACCAACAACTGCAGCAAGATTATTCCATTTACTGTCTCAGTTAAATAGCTGAATATTTCATAGGGGCTTGTCATATCAGCAGAATAGCCAATTAATAGCTTCCATGGCTCTGAAAAGAGAAAATGTTGGTGCTGGTGTGGGATGCTAGCAGAGTTTTTGGGCTTTCACTTATTTGCTCTGATTTGAAAAACTGAGCTGGAATCCAAAGCAAGTGACTAACATTGCATAAATAATTTTGCAATATCATATGGCCTCAGCTGCAAGTTGCAGCCATTATGGAGGAAAATGAACCAAGGGAGGCTCACACCAATCAGTTTGTTTAGTAGCACAGGATGAGTAAAAGGGAAGGGACATGACTGGCAACAGAGTTCACCTCTAAAGTATTAGCGCTTAAATATTTTCAGAAGGGATAAAATAAACAAATCCAGTACCACTTGGCTTTCTCTGCCATGTGTCAGGGTTATTTCAGACTCCAGTTTTTAAATATCACAAATAATCTGAATCATAGTATTTTTACACAGGTCATTAGCAAGTGTTACATGCTAGGAAGAGCTTTCATTTCTCATTTACCTATCTTAATAAAATGTTAGGCCATTTCTTTCAGAAATATAATCCAATGTCTGCAACACAAAGGATTTTTAGTTGTTTAGTAAGAGCTTTACATGGGCACAGCAATCCAAAATTTCCCATTGAACATGTTTCTTACTCTATGGAATAAAGAAATGCAAGACTTCTTCAAATGCTTTCCCAAACTACATAACAAAGCAGAAAATGCCACTGAATTATTGGACCACTGAAGCCACAGTGTCATTGTGGGAATATGAATGGTCATAAAGATGACTGTAGGTGAGTGGATGGATGAGTACCTAAAATGCCTCAGGTGGAATGGAAGGAAGGTTACATTTTTTTTTGGGGGGGGGGAGGTAATTTTTGCTTTCCCTTGCTTTGATTTTTTTTTTTCATTCTAATGCCCTGGCATTTAATTATACATTAATGGTCTGTTACAGGAATATCATGAAGTGCCTTATATATCTGCTGGTTGTAGCTGAATATGTTTATGTGAGTAAGGGTGGAAATGGGTTTGGGAAGCATCCTATTTTTATTCCTCTCTAGTGAGATGGCAGGAGAACTGCGTAATTGCTTTTACTTTCTAAATTATATCTATGTGTTAAGGAGAGTGTAAGTTGAGCAGTTAATGTGCATAATATCTGGCCATTGTGCAATTCACCAGGCCTCATGGAGAATGTGCACATAATCCTTCATTTCCTGGTCACTATACATAATTCCCAACAGGCCTGGGGAAAGTGAATATAGTGCCTGAATTTTGTACATTCGTGAGGCATAATTCCCAAGAGGCTAGGGGGGTTGTACGTATCTCAACTTTATTTTGCACATTCTCTGGGCAATATGCACATTTCTGACCAATATGCTTAATCTCCAAGAATGTTCAGGCGTTTTGCAATCTGCAGTCCCCAGGCTGCTTCTGGCCCATTTCCAAATTATACATAACCTCCCCACTGATTAGGCAAGAAGCAGGAAGGTGGGAGGGGCTCCAGATAAAGTGGTGGGTTGTTTTTTACCATTATTTACTTAATTTATATCCTGCTCTTCCTCAAAAGGAGCCCTTTCCCCTTCAACCCAGCCCCCTTCTAACCAATCTCAGCTGTTTCCTAGTCAGTTGAGCACCACAAGGGCGACTGCAGGGAGAGGGAAACTAAACACCTTCATCCCTTCCTCCTCCCGCCCCGCTTCCTGCAATTCTAATGCCCACCCCACTCCCCATGGGGTCAGTCATCATGGGACTCACAGAGGAGGGGAGTTTATTCAGCTGAGGAATGCTTACCCAGCAGGGGAAAAGAGAGCTGTGAAGTATCACTGATCCTACACAATGCCATTTCTGGCCCCATCCTATGCAGGCAAATTACTTTCCTTCCCCCTGCCTTTTGTGCCAGCCAGCATGAAATGTTCTCAGTGACACTAACATTTGGAGGAAAACTATATTACTGTGTAAGCTACAGTTTTTCATAACAGCAGGTGAACAATAAATCTACGATGTTTTGCCCATTTTTATTTATTCTTACAAGAGGCAGAGGGTGGGTGGGTGGTCCAGGTGAAATGCAGAGGGACAGCCAGGACAGGCATCAGCAGCCCCCCCCTGCTCTGCTAGCTCCTCTGCCTGCCAGCTGGGGCCCCTGCCCACAGGATCCAGAAGCCCAGGCAGCAGGCACCACTACTCACCACCTTCCTCCTCCATGGCCAGCTTGGGGATCTGCTGCTTCTGCCACCAGTGGTTAGAATTAGTGGTCAGAGTTGCCTCAGAAGGAAAAGCAGCTCAGGATGGAAGAAGGTGGTCAGAAGCAGTGACCAGCACACCTGGTAATCCACTATTAGGATGAAGAGTCAGTATGGATAAGGCAGTGCCAGCAGCAGAAAATATTCAGGCTGATCAGCCACCACTTCTTGCCTCTTTCCCATGCTGCTGCTGCTTCTACCAAGTTGACTTTTCATCTGGCTTGGCTTCAGTGGCAGCACTGAGGAGGAAAGGCACATGACGGTGTGGCAAGGTCTAGGAGGACGGGGTACGATAAATTGGCACAGCCGCTACTGAAAACGGTAGTTTAGTAAAGGGCTACCAATGGAATTGGGATGCAGGTGGCGCTGTGGGTTAAACTACAGAGCCTAGGACTTGCCGATCAAAAGGTCAGCGGTTCAAATCCCCGGCAACGGGGTGAGCTCCCGTTGCTCGGTCCCTGCTCCTACCAACCTAGCAATTCGAAAGCAAGGTAAACGGCGTTTCTGTGGGTTGTTCTGGTTCGCCAGAAGCGGCTTAGTCATGCTGGCCACATGACCCAGAAGCTGTACGCCAGCTCCCTTGGCCAATAAAGCGAGATAAGCGCCGCAACCCAGAGTAGGTCATGACTGGACCTAATGGTCAGGGGTCCCTTTACCTTTACCAATGGAATTATAATGGACACAGAGTGATATGGCAACGGGATGGATGTGTCAGGTGAGGAAAAGCTGGGTTAGATGTCTTCAAGCTACTTCTCCTTCCAGCCATCTCCCAGCCTTGATACTAGTAGCCTTGCTGTGTGGTTCCTTGAAGTTGTTAAGGTGAAACTAGAAAATTCCAGATCAGCTAATGGAAAGACAATTACTGTCTCTAATCTTGTCCAGAAAGGACACGCTGACCTGGCTATTGTAACTGAAACCTGACTGGATGAAGGGGAAGATGCAAATGTTTCCCAGATGTATATCTTTGGGCAGAAAGGAGAAGTAGCTGTTATTTATAAATATATGAATGTATCTATAAATATATCATCTCCCTCATCAGATACTTGGCCCACTCAATAATTGTAGTGCCTGTATCTTGTGTAAGGAACTTAAGACAGGAATGGTGTTGAGGAACCACAAGGTTTTTGGTGCCTTCAACACACGTGTCCGTGCAAGCTTTTCTGAAGAGATGTGGCACCCCATGGCTGCCAATGTAATTATTGGCTTGTCTCAAATTATATCAGGTCCAACACATATGGCAGAACACGGCCCAGAGCTTGTGTTTTGGAAAGGATTAGGAGAAAGTGATCTGTAGGTGAGGGAGCCAGTAATGACTCAATTCTAATAGGCATATAACTGTTTGATAAGGTGTGACCACCATGCTGCAGCTAACCTCTGCAAGGGTGAAGGACAAATTTCAGTGGTATGAAACAGTGGCTGATTAATGGTTTTCTGGTGTCTCTGGCAAAGTTTCCTGATACTCTAGTCCTCTCTATACTGGAGAAGGTAATCTAATTAGTTTCAGAAGACTTCAAAAAATGCAAAATATATACAGTGGTACCTCGGGTTACAAACACTTCAAGTTACAAAGGTTTCAGGTTACAGACTATGCTAACCTGGAAGTAGTACCTCGGGTTAAGAACCTTACTTCAGGATGAGAACAGAAATCGCACGGTGGCGTCACAGCAGCAGTAGGAGGCCCCATTAGCTAAAGTGGTACCTCAGGTTAAGAACAGTTTCAGGTTAAGAACGGACCTCCGGAACAAATTAAGTTCTTAACCAGAGGTACCACTGTATAACAAAACAAATGAGTGGACACAGAAAATTATTGTAGAGCAGTACTTACGGGCTCAATGACTTTCACATTATCAGACAGTATCATAGATTTGCTTTGGCTGTGTCTGTCATGGGGGCTGTTGGCATTTTTGATCCTCATCTGAACAGCACCTGTGCTTTCATGGGAATGATGCAGCTTTTCTGCACTGGTATCAGCAGACATGTACTGCTGCATGATTATTATGTCAACCTGAAAAATATAATAGCCAGTAAGGTCAGACACACCATGCACTAATCTAGATTTTATTCCATCTTAGTCAGTAAGCAGACAATGTCAAACACACTGTGTATTAATCCAGGTTTTATTCCAGTTTAGGTAATAAGGAAAAATAATAGTGAAACCAGCTGAGTATCTCTTAAAATCTATCAGTAGAATCAATAATCTAGGGCACCTTATTACTCACCATCTCGTCCAAGAGCGAAGTTTACCTAAAAGATTATCTTTATCTCAAAGGCCACTCTTCTGTTGTGTAATCTTTCAGTAACCTTTCCAGTACATCCAGCTGGCAGGCCTTACAGTTTGCCTTTGGTCTTCCCATGTTCACATCTGAGACACATATCTCAAGTTTGCTCACAGGCTAAAAGTGAAGTGTTTGGCCTTTGTTGATTATGCCAGAAAGACCAGCGGAGGATGTTGCATGCACGCCTGCTTCATATATTATGTTTCAAAATGCACCCCATAAAACCTCTTATATGCCAGCTAAAATAGGTAGATGGTTCTGGAACTAATTACAGACTAGAGCAAAGTAGAGGCAAATATGTTGCTATTGCATTAGGGTGGAGGGGTCAGCATCAGACATCAAGGTCACTGGTAGAGATGTCACCAAACTATGCAACTCTTTGGCTACATGTCAAGGTGCTGCTAATGCATATATTTTCCACTCAAATATTAGCCACGTTTTCAGACATCGTTCAGTGCTTTTAAAACACTAAACATGCTTATCTAGTTTCAGAAAGAGAACACATTTTCAAAGCTTCATCCATTTTACTTAAATTGTAACATGATATTTTTTCGTACTTGGGACCTTGGGCTATTATTAAATCTGCCATATCTCATAACTATAGGGTTGTCAGGCCAGATTTGTGCTTAGGTGGGAAATCTTTAAGGAAAGCCTAAGAGCTGTGGGAAGTATAGGCACTTTGATGCAAAGAATGCCATCTTCCAGATGAAATGCAAAGCAACATTTGCCAAATATTTGCTAGGAAGTATCTGTCTGCATCAGCTGTTTTTCATGTGATATGTGTATCTAAACATAAAGCAAATAGAAGGTGCAAGCCATGCTGCATCCTGATTCCTCCTCTGAGTAGGCCTTAATTTCTGCTGCTTGAATGTAAACACCCCAAAAGGTCCTAAATATCAAATGTTATCTCTTATGGCAGTCTGCACAAACATCCTATAATGGCTTTTAATCTTGCTATTGAACTGCTATTCATTTTCTAATAAGCAGCTGTTATTTGTATTTGCCATTATGGTTACTACCATTATGATGGACTTCTCTATGGCAATGACCTCTGTAGATGCAGCACATTTCTATGGCCCGGTTCATACATAACACTAATCCACCATCCACATCACGCTAAGCCACGGTGTTGCATGAGAATCAGGCCTTTGTTTTAAGCCACAATCTCTCGTTTGTACAAATTAGTGGAGAGTGAAACTGAGGTCCTTCTCCCAGCCATGCGACAGGAGGAGTGGCAGACGGGTGAGAGGAGAGAAGCACATGAGCCTGAAACCTTCCTCTGGCTCTTTCCTCCTTCCGATAAACCATGCTTTCACATTATGTGCAAATGTGGTGCATTTATTATACAGACACACATTGATCCTCCCTGGATGAGATTGTGCTTCTGTCACAACAGTGTCCCCGTGTGCCCTACATTTTACCACAGAAGCAATTGGCAGCTATCTATTTGCTTATATGGGAGTGAACTGCAAACCTGATTCCCAAATAGAGATGGCCAAAGAGACTTTGGAATCTGAGGCAGAAAATGCAAACAGCGCTCCACCTCATGATGCTAGAGTATAACAAACTAAATAACTGGCAATGTGCTCATTTTTAATGGTATGCAAAAACCTCCTTCCTCAGGCACCAGCATAATAGTAAGGCTGTTCCTGAAACTGGTGAATCTAGCCACTGAGAATCGGGTCTTACCATCTGCATAGCTCAAGCATGGTTCCACTTCTTCTGAAAACATGAAGCTCAATTATGCTGAGTTTGACAGCACTGGGCTGGACTGGAGTAATAGTTTAATTCTGACTGGAAACACCTTACAAAGATCTCAGGCAAAGGCCTTTCCCATTTTCAGTACATGAGGTCCATTGACTTGGATAAATTGGGGGCTAAACCTGAGTGATGGAAACACCCACGCAAGTATATGGATTGGCAATGGGCCGTAAGACCATGTCCATCTGATCCTAAAAGTGGCCCCCTGATAGAACTAGTTGCTGACCAGTGTTCTACTAGCTAAAGTGATTTTAGAGATCTATCAATATTCACAATCATTTTCTTCTTTGTTTTGTTGCCCACTCAAAGCATGATGGGGCATACGCTGTCATGAGTATTTATCTTTAAGAAACTTTCTAAAGATAAACTCTCAGTGCTGGAAGGAGTGTGTAGGTACAATAAATATGCAAAGAATATTACTGAAGCATAGAAGGAAGGTCTGCTTCTGTTATCTCACTTGGTACGATCCTCCTTGCAGAGGCTGTGGTTTCTATTGTAATTCTCATGGGAAATTTGCACATATTTTCAGAGGCTCTATTTATACACACTTACTAAGCTAGCAGTACACCTTAGGTTCTGAGTTTGTGAAGAAAGGATTCGTGTACCATCTCCTTTTGTAACCTACACACATGTGAGGGGATCCAGCAAATTTAGACTCAGATGTGGAAACCCAAGTTATATTGATCTCTCCCTCACCTCCTTTAAAGGGGAAGAACTGTGTGACTTGATCTTGTCTTCATACATATAAGTTCTGCATCACACTTTCTGTTTTGAGAATGGTGAAGGGGTGGAATGCATACCTGCTATTCCACTAAGAATGGCAAGGGGAGCGGGGAGAGATCAGGTAGCAAGTGAAGTGAAAGAGCTCAGACCCAGGAGAGCTGCTGCAATATAATGTAGACAGTAATGGCCTAGTAAAAGGCAGTTTCTTGTGTAAGGATTTGAAGAACAGGGTAAAGGGAGACTGGTGTGACTTGAAAGACTCATCTGTATGTTTTAAGATGTAACTTTAGAATTTGACTTTCACTGTGCAGATACTCTGCAGTCAAGCAAAAGCCACCAAATCTTCATTCCAGGAAGCTACTGATACTACCTAATTACTGAGGAACTACAGGGGAAAGTCTTTCAGTAAGATATTAGGGGTCGATATGGGGGGGTGGCTCTGGAGAAAGCTGAGGAGAAGATAGAGGGGTGGCTGCCTCCCCTCTGAGGGTGTGGGGAGGTAAGGAAATGGCAGAAAGACATCTGGAAAGGAGAACTTTCAGAGATACAAACTTTTCAGAAAAACAACAACTATCCATTGCTCAAGAATTTGTAACTCTGGGGTTCCAGTTAATGATGCAGAAGGCAGCAGTTTCCTCTCTGTCTCTCCATAAGCATTGTAGAGCAGAGCTGGTTTGTGCTCTCTCTGCCTCTGTTGGACATTTTTTGCATTAGCGTTTGGAGAAATCTCCTAACTTTCATTACTGCTGATATGGCTCCACCACTGATTTTTAGTGCACACGCGATACTGTAGCTGAGCACGTTTTTCATTCTTAATGATATGCCCACAGGATACTATTTTTACTAGCATTCCCACTGTTTATTACTATTGCTGCAATACTTCAGCAGTGGGACTTCTTACCAAAATTTGCAAATGTGGCTTTATCATCATGCCGTAACATCTTTTAATTTCTTCATTATTTCACTGCCCCTATACTCACCATACCTTTCTCAATCAAAACCATTTGCTGACCAGATTTCTGTAAGAAGTGACACGCCAAAGCTGGCATACACTTTTTGACAAAACCAGTTAAGCCCTTGAAAATGTAAAAGTTATTATTGTTTGTGCTCCCAGTGCAAATACAGATGCCAGTATCTGGACCCTTTCTCACATTATATATCTATGTTGGAGGCTCCATTGAATAAGTTGTTGGTGTATTTTCTACTACATTTAACATAACAATGCAAAGCAATCTGTTTCTCTCCCCATCCATGTACTGTGCTTATTTTATCATGCACATCTAGCAACATCTAGCAACAGGTTGTATGTAAGACTTCAGAAATAAATGAAATTTCCTTACCTACAGTTTGCTACACATGACGTTCTTATCCACTGTACCAACATCCACCGGTAGCTTCTAAAAAGCAAATGGAAAACATGAAGCAGTTACGTATCTGAAAGCTACACAAATCTCTCTTCCCCTGAAGCAACAGAAAGAAAGCAAAGAGGAAAGCACGATGTAACCACTTCCTGTTAAAGGGAGTTAAGCACCCCCACAGCAAGTCATACATGCAGTTTCATATATAGGAAGAAACTGAAGAGTATAACAGGCAAATGCTCTAGCATGAAAATTACTTAAAGTTACTGCAAGTAGACAAGCAGACTTTCAGAAGATCAGCAAAGCAGTTGAAAAGGAAATACGAGGAGGAATTAAACTAGCTGGAGTCTGAACCAACTTCCTTTTTCCTCTGTTTTCTGTAGAAAATAAAAAGTCTTGCAGAAATTTACTTGGGCATGTTGGAGGCAGATGCTTGGTTCTGCTGCCTTTTGCCATCTAATTAGCTCTTGAATTACAGCTCTAACTACTGCATCTAGTTTACATTTGCGTATAACATTAGGTTTTTGGTGTTGCACTTCTGGCAAGCTTAATGTGCCGCTGTTAATGATCCTGCTTTGTCAACTTCCTGTTTGAAAATTACCTACATGAGAGACTTTGCCGAGGCCTCATACATCCTTGTTTGGAAGTCAGTTGCACTGAAATGAAAAGAGCTTGCATGTTGGCATTTTTTGTATCAGCGTTCTACCAGACCAAGTAAAAGTGAAGTGTTTGGCCTTTGTTGATTATGCCAGAAAGACCAGCAGAGGATGTTGCATGCACGCCTGCTTCATATATTATGTTTCAAAATGCACCCCATAAAACCTCTTATATGCCAGCTAAAATAGGTAGATGGTTCTGGAACTAATTACAGACTAGAGCAAAGTAGAGGCAAATATGTTGCTATTGCATTAGGGTGGAGGGTCAGCATCAGACATCAAGGTCACTGGTAGAGATGTCACCAAACTATGCAACTCTTTGGCTACATGTCAAGGTGCTGCTAATGCATATATTTTCCACTCAAATATTAGCCACGTTTTCAGACATCGTTCAGTGCTTTTAAAACACTAAACATGCTTATCTAGTTTCAGAAAGAGAACACATTTTCAAAGCTTCATCCATTTTACTTAAATTGTAACATGATATTTTTTCGTACTTGGGACCTTGGGCTATTATTAAATCTGCCATATCTCATAACTATAGGGTTGTCAGGCCAGATTTGTGCTTAGGTGGGAAATCTTTAAGGAAAGCCTAAGAGCTGTGGGAAGTATAGGCACTTTGATGCAAAGAATGCCATCTTCCGGATGAAATGCAAAGCAACATTTGCCAAATATTTGCTAGGAAGTATCTGTCTGCATCAGCTGTTTTTCATGTGATATGTGTATCTAAACATAAAGCAAATAGAAGGTGCAAGCCATGCTGCATCCTGATTCCTCCTCTGAGTAGGCCTTAATTTCTGCTGCTTGAATGTAAACACCCCAAAAGGTCCTAAATATCAAATGTTATCTCTTATGGCAGTCTGCACAAACATCCTATAATGGCTTTTAATCTTGCTATTGAACTGCTATTCATTTTCTAATAAGCAGCTGTTATTTGTATTTGCCATTATGGTTACTACCATTATGATGGACTTCTCTATGGCAATGACCTCTGTAGATGCAGCACATTTCTATGGCCCGGTTCATACATAACACTAATCCACCATCCACATCACGCTAAGCCACAGTGTTGCATGAGAATCAGGCCTTTGTTTTAAGCCACAATCTCTAGTTTGTACAAATTAGTGGAGAGTGAAACTGAGGTCCTTCTCCCAGCCATGCGACAGGAGGAGTGGCAGACGGGTGAGAGGAGAGAAGCACATGAGCCTGAAACCTTCCTCTGGCTCTTTCCTCCTTCCTATAAAACATGCTTTCACATTATGTGCAAATGTGGTGCATTTATTCTACAGACACACATTGATCCTCCCTGGATGAGATTGTGCTTCTGTCAAAACAGTGTCCCCGTGTGCCCTACATTTTACCACAGAAGCAATTGGCAGCTATCTATTAGCTTGTATGGGAGTGAACTGCAAACCTGATTCCCAAAGAGACTTTGGAATCTGAGGCAGAAAATGCAAACAGCACTCCACCTCATGGTGCTAAAGTATAACAAACTAAATAACTGGCAATGTACTCATTTTTAATGGTATGCAAAAACCTCCTTCCTCAGGCACCAGCACAATGGTAAGGCTGTTCCTGAAACTGGTGAATCTAGCCACTGAGAATCAGGTCTTACCATCTGCATAGCTCAAGCATGGTTCCAGTTCTTCTGAAAACACGAAGCTCACGTATGCCGAGTTTGACAGCACTGGGCTGGACTGGAGTAATAGTTTAATTCTGACTGGAAGCACCTTACAAAGATCTCAGGCAAAGGTCTTTCCCATTTTCAGTACCTGAGGTCCATTGACTTGGATAAATTGGGGGCTAAACCTGAGTGATGGAAACACCCACGCAAGTATATGGATTGGCAATGGGCCGTAAGACCGTGTCCATCTGATCCTAAAAGTGGCCCCCTGATAGAACTAGTTGCTGACCAGTGTTCTACTAGCTAAAGTGATTTTAGAGATCTATCAATATTCACAATCATTTTCTTCTTTGTTTTGTTGCCCACTCAAAGCATGATGGGGCATACGGCTGTCATGAGTATTTATCTTAAAAAAAACTTTCTAAAGATAAACTCTCAGTGCTGGAAGGAGTGTGTAGGTACAATAAATATGCAAAGAATATTACTGAAGCATAGAAGGAAGGTCTGCTTCTGTTATCTCACTTGGTACGATCCTCCTTGCAGAGGCTGTGGTTTCTATTGTAATTCTCATGGGAAATTTGCACATATTTTCAGAGGCTCTATTTATACACACTTACTAAGCTAGCAGTACACCTTAGGTTCTGAGTTTGTGAAGAAAGGATTCATGTACCATCTCCTTTTGTAACCCACACACATGTGAGGGGATCCAGCAAATTTAGACTCAGATGTGGAAACCCAAGTTATATTGATCTCTCCCTCACCTCCTTTAAAGGGGAAGAACTGTGTGACTTGATCTTGTCTTCATACATATAAGTTCTGCATCACACTTTCTGTTTTGAGAATGGTGAAGGGGTGGAATGCATACCTGCTATTCCACTAAGAATGGCAAGGGGAGCGGGGAGAGATCAGGTAGCAAGTGAAGTGAAAGAGCTCAGACCCAGGAGAGCTGCTGCAATATAATGTAGACAGTAATGGCCTAGTAAAAGGCAGTTTCTTGTGTAAGGATTTGAAGAACAGGGTAAAGGGAGACTGGTGTGACTTGAAAGACTCATCTGTATGTTTTAAGATGTAACTTTAGAATTTGACTTTCACTGTGCAGATACTCTGCAGTCAAGCAAAAGCCACCAAATCTTCATTCCAGGAAGCTACTGATACTACCTAATTACTGAGGAACTACAGGGGAAAGTCTTTTCAGTAAGATATTAGGGGTCGATATGGGGGGTGGCTCTGGAGAAAGCTGAGGAGAAGATAGAGGGGTGGCTGCCTCCCCTCTGAGGGTGTGGGGAGGTAAGGGAATGGCAGAAAGACATCTGGAAAGGAGAACTTTCAGAGATACAAACTTTTCAGAAAAACAACAACTATCCATTGCTCAAGAATTTGTAACTCTGGGGTTCCAGTTAATGATGCAGAAGGCAGCAGTTTCCTCTCTGTCTCTCCATAAGCATTGTAGAGCAGAGCTGGTTTGTGCTCTCTCTGCCTCTGTTGGACATTTTTTGCATTAGCGTTTGGAGAAATCTCCTAACTTTCATTACTGCTGATATGGCTCCACCACTGATTTTTAGTGCACACGCGATACTGTAGCTGAGCACGTTTTTCATTCTTAATGATATGCCCACAGGATACTATTTTTACTAGCATTCCCACTGTTTATTACTATTGCTGCAATACTTCAGCAGTGGGACTTCTTACCAAAATTTGCTAATGTGGCTTTATCATCATGCCGTAACATCTTTTAATTTCTTCATTATTTCACTGCCCCTATACTCACCATACCTTTCTCAATCAAAACCATTTGCTGACCAGATTTCTGTAAGAAGTGACACGCCAAAGCTGGCATACACTTTTTGACAAAACCAGTTAAGCCCTTGAAAATGTAAAAGTTATTATTGTTTGTGCTCCCAGTGCAAATACAGATGCCAGTATCTGGACCCTTTCTCACATTATATATCTATGTTGGAGGCTCCATTGAATAAGTTGTTGGTGTATTTTCTACTACATTTAACATAACAATGCAAAGCAATCTGTTTCTCTCCCCATCCATGTACTGTGCTTATTTTATCATGCACATCTAGCAACATCTAGCAACAGGTTGTATGTAAGACTTCAGAAATAAATGAAATTTCCTTACCTACAGTTTGCTACACATGACGTTCTTATCCACTGTACCAACATCCACCGGTAGCTTCTAAAAAGCAAATGGAAAACATGAAGCAGTTACGTATCTGAAAGCTACACAAATCTCTCTTCCCCTGAAGCAACAGAAAGAAAGCAAAGAGGAAAGCACGATGTAACCACTTCCTGTTAAAGGGAGTTAAGCACCCCCACAGCAAGTCATACATGCAGTTTCATATATAGGAAGAAACTGAAGAGTATAACAGGCAAATGCTCTAGCATGAAAATTACTTAAAGTTACTGCAAGTAGACAAGCAGACTTTCAGAAGATCAGCAAAGCAGTTGAAAAGGAAATACGAGGAGGAATTAAACTAGCTGGAGTCTGAACCAACTTCCTTTTTCTCTGTTTTCTGTAGAAAATAAAAAGTCTTGCAGAAATTTACTTGGGCATGTTGGAGGCAGATGCTTGGTTCTGCTGCCTTTTGCCATCTAATTAGCTCTTGAATTACAGCTCTAACTACTGCATCTAGTTTACATTTGCGTATAACATTAGGTTTTTGGTGTTGCACTTCTGGCAAGCTTAATGTGCCGCTGTTAATGATCCTGCTTTGTCAACTTCCTGTTTGAAAATTACCTACATGAGAGACTTTGCCGAGGCCTCATACATCCTTGTTTGGAAGTCAGTTGCACTGAAATGAAAAGAGCTTGCATGTTGGCATTTTTTGTATCAGCGTTCTACCAGACCAAGTCTAAAATACTGCTCTGTATTATGACTTTCTATAATTAGGGCATAAGGCACTACGAAGATGCAATTTCCATCTCCTTCTCTTATGCAATTTCCACTCATTCTGTAATGAACTATGTAGAATTTTCTACTGAGTCACACCCTGCAATGCACAAATCTCAACTAAAGTATTCGTGACAGATGACCACCCAACATCTGCTTAAAAACCTCCAATGAAGGAGAGCCCACCACCTTCCAAAGTAGTCCACTGGAGAACAGCTCTGTCAGAAAGCTCTTATTGATGTTTAGTCAGAGTTTATTTGAGATTTGTTCACTGTTGACTTTTTAACAGATTGTGCTCAATTCTTTGACTTCCATTTTCAACCATAGGGTAGGGTTGTCCAGGGACATACCCAGGATCCCCTCCCCTCTATATATATAAAGCTCAACAACTTTTGTGTCCAGATAGGCCTTAAATACACACACAGGTTGCTGGAGCACAGAAAAAAAAAACAGAAGAGGCAAGTTCCATGACCTTTTATACATAAGTGTTGTTGTTTTAAAATAATTCTGCACTTTAAAAAAATCATATTCTAGGTAGGGCTGAAGCAAGTTTTATAAATTGAGCAGACTGGCATAATTTACATTAGGGTTGTATCTACCTAATCATACTGCATTGAAAACAGTGGATTTAAGTTAGTGAAGCCCATTGATTTCATTGGGTCCAATTCGAGAATGCCTTGTTTGGCTGCAACCCTTTTTATTTTGGCTGTTTTGAGAGGCTTTTATATTTAAAAGGATTCTAAATTTCATCTCGGGGCAGTCATGCATTTAAAGTTACTTAATTGCATTATATAATTTTGGAAAACTTTACAAACGTGGGCCTAGTACTTCTCACTAATGTTAGTAAACAACTGGGCTGAGTATTGACCACATTGTGTTATTTGTATCGCTTACAAATGAAAGCACTTTATGAAAACAAAAGCTGAATATCCCCAAGAGGTATAGAAGGGCTGTCCATGCTGGGCCTCCTATGCCTATGGCCCTAAAGAAGCACATTTAGCAAATGAGGCCTACAGCCCTGAGGGGAGGTTCTTTAGTCCAGCTCCCATCAGCCCCAGCAAACACAGTCAGTGCTCAAAAATGATGGGAACTGGGAAAGATGGCCTCCCCACCACAAGTTTAAATGACAAGGTCTGCAGCACTGAGAGAGAACAGTTTACAAAATGAGGCCTACAGACCTGAGGGCACTGTGTTTAGAAATTAAGGGCGGGAAGAGTGACCAAGGGAAGTTGGTGGGCCTTGCCTCTCTCTCCCCCCTCTCTCTGTCATACATATAGAGAAGACTGGCTGGTCTTGAAACTCTGAAATAGACAAACCTCTAAATATAGACAAGTATGAGCTGCAGCTGCAACAGAACAATCCAATGAGATTTATATAGCCAGAAAACAGAGATATGAGGAAAGTTGACAAGCCCACACTGAACTGAACTTAACTAGCCAAATATATTGTAAACCTGTCACATGGCCAGAGTCTTTGGAATGCAGAACATAAAAATAAAAATCTATGCAAAATTTCATTTGGACCCATGAAGAAAAGCCCTGTATGATGTTAAGGCAAGGAGCAAGTGCTTTTAACACTCCTTTTCTAAACTGCTAGTATCATAGTGAAAGAAGTTGTGCAACACAGCTTCCTCTTGTCAATAAAGCTAATAGTGTCTTGTATACTATAAAGAGCTGGTAGTTTTGCATGTTGCTCAAACTTGAGCCTTCCAGGCTTCCTACCTAAAAATATCTGAAATTTTGACCAAGTTCAGCACAACAAATTGGATGTTGAATTTACTTCAACACAAGAATGCCCCAGCCAGAAAACAAAACTTTCAGTTCTAGGCTAAATACCTCATGAAATTCACTATAATTGTCAGGGCCAGTCCAGGACATTTTGCTGCTTCAGGCAAAATTGAAAATGCTTCCTCCTGCAACCACTGCCGCCTCCTCTGTGCCGGCCCGACTCCTTTGACCGCCACCTCCATTTGATAAGGTGGGTTATTTTGCACCAGATTCAAGAAATTTCGGGGGAATAAGAGATGACACACAGGCAATGCAGATGGGAAGACTTGAGGGAGGGTTTGCCCTGAAGGCAACAGCAGTGAAGGAAGATGAAAGAACAGATGAGTTCACCAAAGGACACTGGATTACAATAAATAACAAGTACATTTCAAGCCTATCAGATAATATTTCTCTCTCTCTCATAGTAACCCACAATACAGGAGCTCATGAAGAATAATCACATTGATAAATGGGGCCCCCTCCCCATGTAACTAGAGCAAGGTGTGTTGTTTGCTGAAAGGAAAATATTTGCACCCAGAACAGGTCTATAGAAGCACAGTTTCTGTGATTAAAGTTTCACTCCATCCAAATTTCCTCTCTCTATATATATTTGTTCACATTCAACTTTTATGATGCCACTGGTTTCAGCGCCAAACATAGCAGAGTCTACAGAACAGAGCTGGAGGCTTCAATACTCCCCATTACCAAAGCCCACTATCAGTATTTCAGTGGAGGTGTGCTGGAGGTGGTCAAATAATGTGTGAATTTCACCCCTTCCTCGATATAAGTAAGCTGTGAGCAACTGTGCATCCTTTCGTTTAGGGGTGGCTGTCATTAAGTGACAGTGTCACATAACTGATATTTGACAAGCTGGAAGCTGTGCCTGGTGCCATTGACAACAAACCCTCACTTATAATAGTCAGAGTGTATGTACAAAGCCAGCATCACAAACACATGCTGATGCATTATTTAAAGAATGCTTTTGACAGGGTTTAGGAACATGTCAGCTGCAAATGCAGAGCATTCTCATTTGTGATAATGTTAAGACCTTTAGGTGCTAAGAGCACCATGACAGAAGTACTGTGGTGTAAAAAAGAAAGGGAAAAAAGGCGGGGGGGATAATATATTCAGTTCAGTTTAAACAATAAGCCTCTCATGAAAAATATGTCAAATTCTTTACTACTGTCAATATGTTGAAAAGACAGATCCATTGCTATATCAGTATGGGGGTTAGAGAAAAGTGAAACATTAATTGTACGTACTTTTAAAAGACTCTGTACTTTATCAAAATGCAGTCTCTATAAAATTTGTATTTTTCAAAGCAAAATTCCTTTAACACTTTAACATTATTCCAGTCATCCATTATGTTCAAGTAAAGAGGTCATATTTCACCTGAGTTAAAAGCAGGAACAACTCCAGTGGCAGCTACCACTTTGAGGACCCCCATTTCCCAAAGATCTTAAGCTCCTTTGCTTGTGGCATGTGCCCATTCTGTTTGTTGCTTTAATTTCTTTCATGGACCTTTTCATTTTTGCCTACATAAACCTCTTAATAAGGTCTCTCAAAATCGTCCGTTGGGTCTTTTTTATGTGTGCATATGTTTGTGCCACACTTAAAAGGGTATTTACCCCAGCCCATATCTAGACCATTTGGCATCTACTACATGTGTTTATCAATGGGATTTGCCCAAGGAAACCAAGCTGTCCTGATCTCCTAGGCAGAGACAGGGGTGGGCTGGATGTTCCCTTCATAATGCAGGAGGGCTAGTGGCCGCAAATGTTGGTTTTGAGAGATCACAGTTACTTCTCTTCTTGTGCATGGAGGGAGGAGAGCTCATTACCTCTCTGTACCAACACAGATGTAGATGGTTTTCAGGTTCCAATCCCAAGCTTTAGGATTTGTGGGAGAGGCCTTAATTGTGGTTCCATCTGCATCTGTTACATTATGTGGTAACCTAGGGTAGTTCTTCACTGCTGTGGTGTCTGTTGTGGACTCCTTCCTTTAGAAGTATGATTGTCCCCATCAGTACTGATTTTTCGTCCTCAGGTAAACAAGTTTTTGTTCTATCAGGCATTTGGGAGAATTTGATGGGAACTGTTTTGCTTGTCATGATGATACCACTGGAAGTTACATGACTCTTGGTGGTAATGTATATGATGTTATTGTATTTATTATTTGCTGTACACCAGATTGGGATCCCTTTGGGATAAGGGTGATTTAGAAATTAAATAAACAAATCATGGAGGATGCTATCATTGGCTACTAGCCATGGTGAAGATGCTAGAGGTGTGCTTCTGAATATCACTTGCTGGGCTGAAACAGTGAACAGAAACTGGTTCTTTCGGCCTTCCCAGAGGCATCTGGATGCTCACTGTGGGAAATAGGATGCAGAGCTAGCCAGGCCTTAAGTTTGATCTACCAGGGCTCTTATATTAGGATATGGGCCTGCCTGATAAAAAAAATATGACATTGTCATGGCACAGAGATGGAAAGAGGCCAGACCCAAAGCAGAAAGCAGAACGGTCTCCATAGCTTTCAAGGGAACCTTTTGCCCCTAGCCTAAACATAGCAGCCAAATTGGCATTGATCCAGCTAGTTACCCACACTTATGCCCTGTACATGGTTGAAGCCATTCATCCTTACAGCAGTTAGTCAATTTACTAATAAAAGAAGCAAGGTATTGACCCCAACGTCAAATATGTTTTTTTCCTCATTTACTAATAACATTTCATGATCTGACAAGTATTTTGGCTTGGGTTTCTACCCTGATTATTTTGCCTTTTGATTGATAGTAGCTTAATTTCCTATAATCTGATTTGCCTTTTAGTTTAGATTTGTGAAATTTGTCTTCATTTGTGAAAATTGCTTAATGCATCTCTTTAGTGCATCTAATTAATTTAATTCATCATTGTGAAAAAGAAACTGACATAAGCTTAGAAATATCAAGAAATTTGAGATGAATCAAACACACCCCATTCTTGCGTCACATAGTACGCATGTGTTTTATAATGATGTTGACTGATACAATGCTGTGAAACTCAAAATTTTGTTTCATTTTGTGATATTTTCGTTTTTTATGTGATTTGTGACATCTAAACTTTTTTGTTAAATGAATTTCCTTGATTCTATTTTGTTTGTAACAACCACAACAAATTCAGAAATAAAATGTCCATATGTGAGCCAAAATGCTTATTCGTCCTCTTCCTTATTTAGCATCTGCAATGTTCTAGCTACAAATAGCCATTATGTTTCTCAAATGCAAAATTCTGATCCTGCCAGGCAGATTGTTCAGTCAAAGAAGGCTCTTTGCATGCATTTCTGGACCTGCTGTCTGGATGTCTGTATTCACTATCAACAAAGGGTAGTGGGATAATAATGCTAGTTCGGTAATTACGCATTCAGTGACATACACACAGCAGGTGTTGATGAGATGGGGTGCACATGTGTATCTAGACTTTAACGCCATGAAGTCTTCATCGTGACTGCACCATTCACATAGGATATGCCTTCTCTTTATCTTGTGATATACAGTGGTACCTCAGGTTACATACGCTTCAGGTTACAGACTCCGTTAACCCAGAAATAGTGCTTCAGGTTAAGAACTTTGCTTCAGGATGTGAACAGAAATCGTGCAGTGGTGGCGCAGCGGCAGTGGGAGGCCCCATTAGCTAAAGTGGTGCTTCAGGTTAAGAACAGTTTCAGGTTAAGTACGGACCTCTGGAACGAATTAAGTACTTAACCCGAGGTACCACTGTACATGGGAATTCACACACATGCCCCACATCCCTCCAGGGTTGTTTTCTTCATTTCTTATCTATATGCAACTGGCGCTGTCCAGAACAGGAGTAATCAACGTATTTTGGTCTGAGGGCCACACTGGCCCACTACCAACTCTTTAGGAGGCTGGAAAAGTAGGTATGGTCTAAGTGGAAAACTGACCATTCAGTTATAACGCAAGAATCCACAAGAATTGCCTATCAGCCATTCTACTCTATTTTCATGCTTTAAAAAAATCATTCATTATTAAATTCCGTTATATATATATATATATATATATATATATATATATATATATATATGTTTGCTTTCGTAGATTTTCACGGGTACAGGAATGCAGGTTTTGGTGTCCTCGGGTGTCTTCCCGTGTAAAAGTTGGGGTGTCTAGGCGACGTTTCGACGAGGTCTCACTCGTCATCTTCAGGCTGGTGCTTTCGGCTTCTTGTTTCTGGAACAGAGCAGGATCTCAGTGTTTGAGTTCCTATAAATACTGTTGAGGCTATACACCACACCCCCTCAACAGTATTTATAGGAACTCAAACACTGAGATCCTGCTCTGTTCCAGAAACAAGAAGCCGAAAGCACCAGCCTGAAGATGACGAGTGAGACCTCGTCGAAACGTCGCCTAGACACCCCAACTTTTACACGGGAAGACACCCGAGGACACCAAAACCTGCATATATATATATATATATATATATATATATATATATATATATATATATATTAGGACAGGGGTTTTTTCCCCTTCTTGCCTTTTTGTCTTTTCCTAGTGTGGATGGATGGGTGACTATGCTACTAACTTTCTATGTATCAAAAGGTATTGTACCTATTTGTATTTCTAATCTTTTTGCAGTTAAGAAGAAAAGGTAAGAGATTTATATATGAAGGACCACCTGTACCCACTGTTGTAGTCGCGCTGCTGAGCAACAATGCGCAGAGCTCAGTGGAGTAGGAGGCCAGCCAACTGGAAGAATCTCTGAGATACTTACCTGGAGGCAGAGTCATCATACGAAGTCAGGTCAAAGTCCTAGGGTTGAGCAAACAGCAATTCACATGGCCAGATAGTCCAGGGCTCAAGGGTTAAGACGAGCAGGAGGCAGCAAGTTAGAGCCAGGAACTACAAGTGTTGTTACCAGGATTTGACTGTTGCTGGAAGTTCTGCTTAAGAAGGCTACAGCCAGCTGGTTCTCATCAGTCCCTTATCCTATGTCCTTGAAGGCTAATCAGCTGCAGGTGGAGTCACTCCACCTTTCCCCCCTTCAGGCTGCTGTTCAGCAGGTGAAAATGACTCCTGGCCCATGACACCCATACACACTTGCTTTGACCTTAATATCTGCCTCAGAGGTTGTGCTCGTAAGTCTGCCACATAGGTGGGCTATAGAGACAAGGCCTTTTCAGTGGTGATCCTATATCTCTGGAACTCTCTCCTGAAAAAAATGACTTGCTTAAGTGTAACATTTACATTCCACCTCTTCTCCAAGTTGCTCAAGGTGGCATGTATAGTTATATCCCACTTAGTTTTATCCCCACAAATGTGGGGAAAATTAGGTTGAGAGTCAGTGGCTTTTCCATGATCGTCTAGTAAGCTTCAAGGTCAAGTGGGGATCTGAACCAGGTCACAGTCCAGTGGTCTAATCACTAAACCATATTTTCATGAATGGCCCCGTATTTGCTAGCTTTTAAAATTGATGTTTCATATGAACTACTGTCCTGGTCTGTTAAACTACAACAGTTCTAAGTAAATTTAAAGTAACTTGATTGTTTTATTTTATATATTGCTTGCGAGTCATCTTGGGTGGGATTTTGCCCTGAAAAGCAGTATATACACTTTTTTTTGTACTATCACTTGTACATGCCACTTAAAAGTTGGAAAAATTCTAACTACACTTTGGATGGTATTTTATACTATTCTCTATCATGGAAACTATTATAAATAGGAATTACTTGAATTCTATTAATTGCTCATCACAGTTTGTGTACCAGGGTTGGCTGAATGTTCCAGAGCATGCGCAGAACACATTGCTTTTTGTTTCTAAGAAACCACAGATGTAAGGAATAACATATCAAAACGCCATCTTATAGAATAAGATACATAAGCTAGGGAATAAATCATTTGCAAGGCAATACTTAAAATAGATTTTATTGTAATGTATGTGTATATTGTATGTGTACACACACATACAGATATATGCCTATACTGCCTAACACAAACAGTAACACATTATGAAAATTGCAGATCAAATAAAATGGTAGTGTATTTATAGTTGCAATCTTGCTGATAACCTTTTCCCAGCAATATTTGCTTTAAACTGAAATCCAGAGTTGTCTACATAGCTTTTGTAAGTGCAACAGCTCTAAATGTCTGCTTCAGCAGAAACCTTTTCTAGCAACTGACATATCCCTTTCCATATTATAAAGGAAAGTTTTCAGCCAATGAAGTGAGGCAAATGTAAATTTGGGCTTCAGAAATTCGGATACACTAATATTTAAAGTCCCAATATACTGCCTATTTGGCACTAACTATGATTATTTTATTCTGTTTTGGAGAGCAGTGAGTGATCTAGGGTGACCGAGTGAAAGCTGATAGAGTCTGCACGTGCCCTGTGTAAGAACAGAATTTGCTTATTTATTAATTTATCACACACCTTCCACCCTAAGGTCCCAAGGCGGGTTACAACATTATATAAAACACAATGTTAAAAACAGTTTATAATAACTTTCAATCACAAAAGTAAGGTGGGTCTTCAAATACGTGTATACCTCAAGTGTCAAAAGCCAGAGTAAAGAGGTGCAAAAGAGCTATTTGACAGTGGAACAGACTCCCAGGAGAGGTGGTGGACTCTCCTTCCTTGAAGGTTTTTAAGCAGAGGTTGGATGGCCACCTGTCATGGATGCTTTAATTGAGATTCCTGCACTGCAGAGAGTTGGACTAGATGACCCTCCAAGTCCCTTCTAATTCTACAATGGACTATGAAAATACATATGGGGCAGTTGTTGTTGGTACCTTTGGTTGCATACGCTTCAGGTTACATACGCTTCAGGTTACAGACTCTGCTAACCCAGAAATAGTGCTTCAGGTTAAGAACTTTGTTTCAGGATGAGAACAGAAATCATGCACTGGCGGCGCGGCGGCAGCGGGAGGCCCCATTAGCTAAAGTGGTGCTTCAGGTTAAGAACAGTTTCAGGTTAAGAACAGACCTCCAGAACAAATTAAGTACTTAACCCGAGGTACCACTGTACAGTGGTGCCCCGCAAGACAAATGCCTCACAAGACGAAAAACTCGCTAGACGAAAGAGTTTTCCGTTTTTTGAGTCGTTCCGCAAGACGAATTTCCCTATGGGCTTGCTTCGCAAGACGGAACGTCTTGCGAGTTCTTGTGAGTTTGTTTCCTTTTTCTTAAAGCCGCTAAGCCACTAATAGCCGTGCTCCGCAAGACGAAAAAACCGCAAGGCGAAGAGACTCGCAGAACGGATTTCGTCTTGCGAGGCACCACTGTATTACACATAGAGTTCATTAGGTGAATTGTGAGCAAGTATCTGATCTTTTATTCCTTCACGTAAAATAAGAAGCAAAGTTACACCCTTCCTCATCACTTCACTATGAGGTCAACTGGATGCATATATGCTTTTTGAACTGGTAAGAAATAAGCACCTAAAATTATGATTCTTCAGCTTTTCCCAATGTGTGAATTTAAAAGAGAGATATTGAAAGTAAATAGAAGATGACACCAGCTTCCCCTCTGGTCTTTTGAAGACTGAACGATTCTGCACGCATACATACGCTATTCTACACAAAACAGATTCTGAGCTAATTTTTTCTTAAGAGAGGCTTTAAAGTATAAAACTCATCAAACATCTTGTCCTCTGAGACAATGTCATCTAAGTTCAAAGAATGAACAGCCCTACAAAAACAATGTCTTATTTCACTGCATGTTTGAGTTGATGAAATTGAACTGTTTTTTATCTTTTCCGTAACTTAAAAAAAGTTGGAATCAAGCTTCCAAAGCTGAAAAGCAGTATTTTATATATTCATTAGCACATATGTAAAGATTTGCACCAGAAGGTAAAACGTTTTAAATATTTTTCTGGGAGAGACTTTGTTTATGATTCAGGGTTAACTCAAAAACAAAAGTTACACAAGTTATTCATGTTAATGAGGGCCCCTTTAATTATTTCTAATTTAGAGATGAATGAACTTCAAACACATTTAAATTTGGTCAAGAATCTCACTGTATTTCCTTTCAACTGAGTGCTGTTTCAAAGGTAGCCAGCCCTTTCCCCTGTGCTGCTAA